CGTCTCTACCGTGAAAGTAACCCGGCCCTCAAACACAACACTTGGTGGAGCATCGCGGGGAGTATTCCCGAGCTAGAGGCTGTCGTGGAAAAACTTGAGGGCGAAAAAGGCATAAACTCCAAGAAGCTCAGCGAGAGGATTCGCGCTTCGATCCCTCGGTTTGAGGCATCAGAAGAGGTGAGTTTCTACCCCAAGATTAAATTGGGCTTAGCTAATGGATCATTAGAAACGGAGACGCCGCGAATATCGCCTCGCACGAAAAGCTGCTTTCGTTCGTCCGGATCCTGGGTTCTCCATGTATGAAGGTCGCACACGCGGCAAGAAACTGAAATACACGTACTCGGACGACGAAGACATCTTTTCTGATGATGAGCCTTCCAATCGTCGTTCTACTAGAAATGCGGCTCCTACGGAAGCTCCCACGGAGTCTAGACGCCCTCGATTCACGGCAAGCGGGAGGCAGATTCGATCTCGCGCTGGGGGTCTCTATGGCGAGGCTCTGTTAATTGGCCAACGCGACGGAGTAGATGATGAAGAGTTCGATGAAGATGAAGAAGTAAGCAGACCGCAGAGGGCTCGAACTTCGACCCACCCCAATGGATACTCCGGATATGACGCCGATGATTTGGAGGATGCATCTGAAATCCATTCAAGTGCGAATGAAAGCGGCAACGAATGGCAAGGCGTTGAAGACGATTTAGAGCACGATTTCGAAGGCGACAACGAAGAGGACGAAGCAAGCGCAGAAGAGTCAGCCAGCAATGAGGAGCCAGAAAGCCTTGTCGTACAACTTCGATATGGCAAGGGAGACGCATCTAGCAATCCGGAGGTGCAGATTGAAAAATCACCTCCTGCGGAAGAGGCCGATATGAAGGATGACGGAGAAGCTGCAGCAGCTTCCTCCGCCCAAGCACCGCCGCCGACCCTTCCCGATCACTCAAACTCGGATGCGCAGCAGGCCCCATCCACGATTGCACCTTCACACCCTCCTGCCCCGATATCCCAAGCGCCGACCCATTCTGCTGCAACCGTAGCTGAACCATCCACTGTTTTCAATGGCGTGAATCAAATTTGAACCATTTGGCCGTAAAATCGGATTCACTTTAACCTAGGTGTTTCCGCTCCAGGCAGGTTAGAAAGAGACCAAAGATGTACAATCTACCAACTATTGCTAGATAGATCTTTTTGGATTGCAATTGTACTTCTATTAGGCCGTGAGTTATATTGATTGGCACTAACGGCATACGAAGTAATGGAATGGATGCCAAAACACAGATTATCTTTCTCATAAACAATTTCCCGATCTGTAGTTAAGTTCAATACACAGTAGATATATAGCACTACATACTACATACAAATGGCATATACTCGAAATCTATACGGACTTGTGCCAACCGACAACGCAAATGTTGCATTCTGACGCGGCAGCCCATGAGGTCTGCCCCGTACGCCAGATATATGGCAAAAAAATAAGATGATCTACTACATAGTAGAGTCGAGGGATATAAGAAATACAAATGGGAATCAACAACAGCAGGCGCCTCCAACAGCGCGAACGCCAAAAATGCAAGCAATACAGTGTACACAGAAGCCAGTCACTATGTAGGCCCCTAAATTAGAATACTAATAGGTCGCATCCAGCGCAGAGGTGACCTTAGTCAGAGCCTGCATTAGAGAACTGGGCTGTGTAAAACTGCAAAAACTCCTCGAGCGTCAGCGTCTCCATTTCTGGTCGAGATCAGATGGGAAATCAATTATTGGGGAAGCAGGTACTCACATCTTCAACCTGCGACGCCAGTTTAGGATCCCTGGTCGAGCCCAGTTGGGGTAGATGCCAGTTGTTCACTTCGTACCACCATCTGCGAACCCGGCTGCCAAGGGTGTGCCCGCTGACTGAGGCATTGCGGTTCCAGAAGCGCCAGCCCGAGAGCGCGAGTGTCCAGACGGTTCCTTGGATCAGAGGGAGAAGTACCTAGAAGGGAAAAGATCGATGTGTTAACCAGGTATTGCCAAGAAAACTTATGCTTGACACCCCAAAGGGATCAACTGAATTGCGGCAAATGCATACCTGATCCCTAGTAGTAATCCACGCCACTCGCCCCCAGGTGTCAGCATCCTTAATGCTGGCCAGATAGCTCTGTTCGAAGCGCAGATCCGGAAGAGGAGGAAGAGTCTGTCTCCGGTGGACGGGTCGAATTACTCGACTTGGGTGGACAATGTCGGAGGCAATGCTGTTTGTTTCGGAGTCCGGGCCTACCACGACGGGTTGTTTCTCTGAAGCTGCCGTGGCTGGGTTGATGTCATGAACCGGGTCGGGATTACGATTGATGCTTGCAGATTGAATGATCTGCGGGATATCCATAGCATGGTCGGCCATTTTGGTGGATTAAATATGAAGCAATTAAAGTGTCCAAAGAGCTTGGGGTGAATAGAAGCAGCTCCCAAGGTCGTTCGGCTGTTACCGGTGGACCGGGGATACGCAGTCCGCTCTTTTCTGCCAACCCCTCCATCTCCTCCATATCTTCCCACCTTTCTCCCACCTTTTTACTTCAATCCCATTCTCATTCTCATTAATCATATCACAATGGCTGCTCCTCAAGGTTACCCTCTTCTGTGTCTGGAGAACCCTCTCCTCGGTATGTGAAGGATCATCTGAGCATGTTGATAAAATACTAATGTGCTCGCAATAGACATCCAGGCTCGTGGGTACGGATGGACCTGAAGCAAAATGATGCTAAGTTCTAGATGCTGACAATATTCCTTAGTGATGCCGCTCTCTTGGAGAAGTATGAGCTGAAGCCCAATGATGCTATCCTCGCCGAGGACAAGCACATGGGTATCTACGAGGACCTGCTTGCCCGCGATGCCAAGCTGATCCCCGGTGGTGCCGCTCAGAACACCGCTCGTGGTGCTCAGGTATGCATTAAAACACTCCTGTGGGCTCAAATATTGATATTGACAATGTTCCCAGTACATGCTCCCTGAGCAGTCCGTTGTCTACATCGGTTGTATCGGTAAGGACAAGTTCGGTGACATCCTCAAGAATACTTGCGAGGAGGCCGGTGTCCACACCGAGTACCGCGTCGATGAGACCCAGCCCACTGGTAAGTGTGGTGTTGTCATCACTGGCCACGACCGCAGCATGTGCACCCACCTCGCTGCCGCCAACGAGTACAAGCTCGAGCACCTCAAGCAGCCCGAGGTCTGGTCTTTGGTCGAGAAGGCCCAGTTCTACTACGTCGGTGGTTACCACCTGACTGTCTGCGTGCCCGCCATTATTGCCCTTGGTGAGGAGGCTGCTGCTAAGAACAAGGTATGTCATTTGTATTGTGACGTATTGGTCCTCTTTCTAATCTATCTATTTTCATCAGACCTTCATGCTCTCTATCTCTGCTCCTTTCATTGCTCAGTTCTTCAAGGACCAGTTGGATAGCGTCCTGCCCTACACCGACTACACCTTCTGTAACGAGACTGAGGCAATTGCCTACGCCGAGGGCCACCAGTGGGGCACCGAGGATATCACCGAGATCGCCAAGAAGCTCGCTCAGCTCCCCAAGAAGAACACCCAACGTCCCCGTGTTGCCATTGTCACCCAGGGCACTCTCCCCACCATTGTCGCCATCGGCTCTGCTACCGGTACCATCGAGGTGAAGGAGTTCAAGGTCCGCGAGATCTCCAAGGATTCCATCAACGACACCAACGGTGCTGGGTGAGTGATATTGATCTGAACAACCCCATATTAATTGATACTAATTTATGTCCCATATAGTGATGCCTTCGCCGGTGGCTTCTGCGCTGGTATCGTCTCTGGCAAGTCCCTTGATGACAGCATCGACATGGGCCAGTGGCTCGCCAGCAAGAGCATCCAGGAGCTTGGACCTTCGTGAGTTTTTCCTAAGCAATGCATTACAAGAACCCTAACTAACGACTTTCAACTCACAGCTACCCCTCCCCCAAGCAGACCTACTCTCGCTCCTAAGCGTTTATAATGTAGGCTACGAAAAAAGCATAGACTACCAAGATACCTTCAACACATCTCCCAAACCAATTTTGGAAGATTTCGTGCAATCCAGTTCAACAACCGGATGAGCACCACTTGACTTTGGATGATTCAACCCTCTATACCCAATTTTTTCCTTTTCTTAAAACTTGATGACTTCAACGTACTGTCTGAGAAATCAAACGAAAACCATGCTTTGTTGAGAAGCTTGCCCTCGAATTATTTTCGGCTAATCTCGTTATGGCCACTTGATGAATGAACTTGTTCGGGCAATCTACCTTTCTATTTATTCACATAAAAGAGCCCACCTCGTAAATTACTATGAAAAGAAGCACGTAAGATGCAAAATTGAATTTCAACTGCCTAGCCGGCACGATGGTGTCAAGAGGGTAATAGGCCCTAACCAATATGCAGGCCCATAATCATTTCGAAGATCACCGTATCTTCGTGCTGCATAATTCATTCATAACGAAAGAAAAGACGACAAGGCTAAGATTGACGGGGATAACACGGTTCCAGGCCATATTGCATGAAAAGAATAAAAGGCAGAAAACAGAACGAAACAAGCGTCTTCTCCAATGGCAGATTGACCATGTTCATATCCTCGTATTGATCATGTCGCGTGTTGAACGCATGTATCCGTCCAAACAAATGCGAGGAGAGCGAGAGCCGAAGAAGTTCCTGCAATGTGGGGGAAAAACCATATCCTCGCCACTAGAGGACTAGTGCGGGATCTGCCATTTGGGAACTGGCTAGCAGTAATACAAATCTTGTCTGGTCGTTGTAAAGGTGCATACAGTCAGAGTAGGCCTGAATGTGTAGACTCAACACAAACAAAGTCGCATCGTACACAGACGGCCACGCTCACAGACAAACACAGTACACGCCAGGGTAGTTGGAGGTCGAGTTGCACTGTTAATCTTGACAGCTTGCCCGGCTGGTAGTGTGATATGCATATGCACATAAAATAACTAAAGAAATGAGAGCTCGGATAGTCGAATCAGCCTCCTTGGCCACAGGGTGGTGTTTGACCGACTGCCCCAAGCTGTGTTCCAGGCTTGCGCCCTCCAATCCCGGAGCTGTAGGGAGTTGCCCCAGCGAGGCTGCTGGCGATGAAAGCTTCATTGGCCCATGAGGGATGTCCCAGGCTGCTGGACGTCATTTGGCTCGGGAGCTCGAATGCACCGAAAGTCGTTCGGCCATGATCCCAGCCGCTGGCGGCGGGACGAGCATGAGACATGTTGGATGAAGCCCAAGTCGTGGGCATTGATCCTACATCCAGTGAGTTTGAAAATTGGGTCTGCGCCATCAGGTGCTGTCGGAGCATGAGCTCATTTGCTAGCTGATCTTGCGACGGTGAGCGCTCAGAAGCTATGTGGTGCAGTGGAGCTCGCTGACCAGGTTGTGGACCAAGGCCAGGAGGCGTTCGTGGAGGGGCGGTATCTCTCAGTGGCGTCCAAATGCTGGGGAGGCTGGGGATGGCAGGTCGTGGGGTATATGACTGAGCCGATGGCACTCTGAGAGGCTCGGCTGCATTCATGACTGGTGGACCAAGCCCAGGTGGAGGGGCCATTGGGGTGCTAAGTGGTGGAGAGTTTTCGTCGCGGAACGGATAAGCATTGGCATTGGGTGAGACATGCGTAGGTGTTGATATCTCTCCCGAGCCCAGGAAAGCAAATTGGTCATTGGGTGGGGTTTCATACGTGTCCGAGTCAACGAGTCGCTCAACGCCCTCGACGATCTGATGCATGTTGGCGGACATAGATGCCGATGCAGACTGGGAACCGCCGAACAGACTTTGGGCTTCTGCGGCAGAGTATGGCGTTTGAACAGTCTGTGGGATATCCTCACGCTCGATGCTTGCAGCGGAAAGTGCATGTTGGCGGCCATGAGGGCTAGAATAGAATTGCGGAGGCAGATCCTCTTCCTGATAGATAAATGTCTTCTTATCTTCACTATCCACAAGAGCCACCGGAATTTTCTAGATGAGATTAGCAATCTGCTTGTTTGTTCAAGCTATCTTAAGAGCTTTTCACGTACTCCCCTCACAACCAAGTCAAGTCCATCAATCACAAATTCGCGAATTCGATAGAGCATTTCCATGTTGGGGTGACTTCTTTCAATCCCAAGATCGTGCATCCGGGGCTTTGGCCGATCACCACCTCCGACGTACCGACGGGAAGTGGCATCCTGATCCAGAGGTGCAAAACCAAGACTTTCTTCGTCTTCTTCCAATAGATAATCAACCTCGGGAAGGCTGACCACATCGAACGAGGATGCGAGCAGGCTCAGCGTACCGGCATAAATCTTCCAGAACTCTTTGATTTGAATCGAGAGTGCCGAATCCTTTTCCTCTTTTTGCTCAACTAAAGACTGGCTATTTGTAAGTAGCCAGGAGCTATAATGGCGAAGCGCGGGGAGGATCCGGCGAGCAACCACAGACACCTTGTCTGGGATAGGCATTGCGTCTTTGCCGTTCGGATCTTCAAAAGAAGCAGTCCGTTCTAGTTCGACCAAAAGTATTTGCAGTAAGGTGAAAAATGTCTTCACATTGATGCGCTGGAAAAAGACGCGTGCATCCAAGACAGACTCCTCTGAGGGGTGGGTAAGCATATGCATGAGCAATGATAATGTTTCGATTTCTTACCAACGGATCGGACCTTGGCAAAATCCTCGGCCGCGATATTGATGAGACAGAACTTTTGAAGTGTCCCTTCTAGTGACCGTTCTCTAATTTCAACTGCTAGTTGACTAAGAACTTCACTCTCTAACTCGTCGTGCTCCGGGAAGTCGGTTCCCTTGTAACATTTGGCATGGAGATAGAGAAACCACGGAGTCAAGGCCCTTCCAGGGATACCGGCATCTTCGGGGCGGATCAGCTCTCGTTTAGCCCAGGCGCTCATGATTTTTCGGAGTTCAATCTCCAGATTGCCCTTCGCAGTAGGATGCGGTTCTTGAGCCGAAAGTGCTCTGTAGAGATGGTAGGTAGCACGAAGATGATTTCCATCCGCGAGAGCGATAATTGCCAATTGGTTCTGAGATGCACCCGATGCAGGGTTGATCACGGATGCCAGATCATAATAGCCGATGGCAGGGCCCCAGTTGCGATCTTTGCTGACGAGTTCTGATTCACGATAGCGGGAAAGGTCTCCCAGCCGGATAAGGGTCGCATGACATGACTGGAGAATGAGCCTGCGCAGATCATTGGAGGGCTTGATAGGAGATTGGCCGGACAGATCTAGAAAGCATCGTGGGTCAGCATGTCCAGAAACCCGGCGCGGCTTGTGTGCTTGTCTTACTCTCAAAGTTGAACTTGCGCGCAACTCTCTCCAACTCAACAATCCCCCCAAAGCGCGACGATAAATGCTGGATGTATCCTCGGTAAAACCGCTGGCTTGACTTGATGAAATCGAGGTAGTGGCGTTCGAGTTTCCGCCTCTCAACTGGTTTTTTCTTGCCGTGCTCTTCGCGAAACTAATTGACACACAAACACAGTCAGTTTAAGCCACACTTGCGAAAAGCTTCGGTGGGGTACTCACGCGAAGCAACTGCTTGCGAAACCGATTGTTCACTTTCAAGTGCGCATCCCAGAGGCGACTCTCCACGTCAACCTCGCGGGCAGCATTGAAGTCAAGGAGGATTGCATTTTGAGAAGAGGTCCGGAACCTAGGTGAAAAGAGGTCAGCCTCGAGTCGGCGTGCGCGCGGGGCTTCGTCACTGACTCGGAAAGGAAATGTTCGAATTCATCGAATGTGCGCCGTTCTTGCGAGAAACATTGCAGAAGCTCCTTCTCGGCTTCTATCGCAGTCCTGTATCACACCACTGGTCAATGTTCACAATCCAGCCGAAATCGAGGGGAAAGCACTAACTTCCAGGCATCCGTGAACGAGGGCGCCATCAGGAAGTTAGCCCGGGGATCCCGAGCGTCAACCTCGCCGGTCAGATGGCTATGGCTTGGAATATGAGCGGCGGAGGAGCCATCAGTATGTGAAAGACATGAAAGCGCACGCTGATGGGGATGTGAGCCGAGTTGAGTATGAAAATGCATAAATGCGGTCCCGGTCTAGTACGATGATTGGTGTTGCCAAGGCGGGAGGTATCGTGTCCCGTATGCGGATTACGGGTTTTTATTTCAACTCACAGTCACAAAAAGACAACACATGTGCAAGTCAAAGGGAAGATGAAGATAAATACGCCGAGTATCCAATCAAAAGAAGCTTAGGGATTTATAGACCGTCTTTTATAGATCACCCCTCCTCATACGGAGGGTTATAACATCCATCGGAGAGACTGAGTATTTCTGCTTTCCGTCAATGTTTTCAGACTAACTCCCAAGGTTGGTTTAAATATAAATTATAAGTTCGGATTTATGTATACGAGACATTGATATCATAGTGCTACTACACATACTGTTGATGTGCTTTATACAAACCTTAATATCTAAAGAGAAGAAGAGAAGAAGTACGGAGTAAGAGACTAGGAAAATATATACAAAGGTAATTTAAACGGAAAGTAAATTAGATATTCTCAAGGGATACAACATAACTTCTTTGTTTAAATCCTACAGTCTAAGCCTAATAGCCAACTACTAACTAGCCTTGGAAATCTACCGTCTTCCTAAAAATTAAACTTATAAAACCTTCTTATGTATTCTATACAGAGAAGGCGGAGAGTGGAAGAAATTAAGTCTCGCATGGTCGCTGTCCTCCTCCGTACCCTCGCCAAGTTGACCTATCAATTATATGCAAGGTGAATTAGACCATGTCTAAACGACCTCGAAGCCGCTCGAGATCTCCATCTCTCGATCATGACTCAATATCAGTATCATCAATCGCTGTGAATACTACCACTCCCCCTTCTGAGCGCAACAAGCTCATCGATAGTGATACGACCATCCTCCCCGAGGTGATGCATTGCTCCTTACCGCCTCACCGCGAGACACTCTCGTTCACATCCTACGAAGATTACGAGGTTCATTATCTTCAATCCCATGTGAACCGCTGTTCTGAGTGCAGCAAGAACTTCCCCACTGGTCACCTGCTCAACATACACATCGAGGAGAACCATGACCCGCTAGCTGCTGCGCGGCGAGCCCGTGGAGACAAGACTGTAAGCCATATCCCGCCTCCTGTCAAATAGGTTTATGTCCACTTTGCTAAATAAGATTAAAAGTACGGCTGTTTCATCGAAGACTGCGAGCGAAAATGCTCAACCCCACAGAAACGACGGCTACATCTTATAGACAAGCACATGTTTCCCCGGGTATGGTTTCCAGATCGAAAGAGCGCCCCTACGTCACTAACAAATTCTACAGAGTTACAACTTCTACATTGTCAATGATGGCATCGATGCACAAACATCTATGCTGCGACCCATGAACAGCCACAGACGACGCATCTCAACGTCATCTGCTCTAGAGGGCAGGTTGCGGCGCCGGAGCTCGGCGTCTCAATCGAACCCACCGGCAATGGCAATCCCCGAAAAGAAATCATCAAATGACATGGACATTGACGAGCTGGAAAAGTCTATGTCTGCTCTGAAGTTCGTGCCTACGAGCGTCACTAGAAATCGCAACAAGGTGCCTGGCAAATAGTCTTGTGCTCGTTTGGACATCAACATTGAATACGCAGCCCTTTAGAGATGAGATAATGACCGAATTGGATAAATAAAGAAGAATATACTTTTCGCTGACCTTATCTTTTTGTCTATGTAGGGGCCATCCCCATCTATTTTGTGTTACTCAAACTCGAATAGGTCGAAGAAAGAAAGAACAAGCTCGAGAATAAAGAGAAGAGTTACTTTTAAGATCATCACTATATGCAAGTTCTAGTAGAAACAAAAGGGGGCCCAAATGAAACAAGATCAGAAGTTGCTATTGTCCACAACAAACACCGGTAGGGTATAGACAGCACTAAGCAAGTGACGAAGTCATAATACATGTAGATCCAAACAAACATTGAACGCAAATAACCGTATGTCCCAGTCCCCCATATACAAAAACTCCCTGAGACATCATCCAAAAAGAGAAAACATGGGATCATTAGTATGGCCATTCCAGAGACGCCATTAATTTTTTTTCTTGGCAGAGATGTCAGTTGCATCATTGCACCAAAATTGAGTGACACCAAGCATCAAAGCCCAGGGCCCATGCACCACGGTGGCACACCACATTCACTACCACCCGGAGGTTCTCTGCTCAATAGAACAAAGCTCAGCCTCGCGAGTGACAGACCCTCGAAGCACTCAGATTAGAATTCCAGAAGATCCGCATATGCATCCAAGCTTGAGCCGACCAAATCAACAATCGCCCAGCTAGTGTTGCCCTTGAAAGTCCGTGCCCAGACGCGGACAATCGCAACACTAAGCTGCCGCACTTTATAAGGATTCGCCATAAACTCCATGTCCGGTGCACCAGGCGGATCAACGGCCATTTCGGTTTCATCCATCATGCTCTTGATCCACAATAGTAACTTCCGCTCATGCTCCGACAATCTCTGCTCAGACTGCGTTGTGGGAATGGCAAGCAGCCAGCGACTGAGAAGGAAAGCGCATTCCAGACTGCAGAGTGAATGCTGAATGCTCCAGAAGAACGAATGTGTCCTAGCCACAAAGTCAATTCCCAGTCGTACCGGGATTGAAAGAGCATGGGCTGAGTGAAGCAACGCCATAATCAGCCGCGGGCTACGTGCAATGGCAGGGGACTCAGTCAAAGCTGCTGCAATTTGGGCTGGATCTTGTGTGATGAGGTGGCGGCAGGGACCCAAATCAACATGTAAACGGATGTAGGCGAGTCCCAAGAGCGCAGTGGAAGTGAATGCAATTGGACCAGCTGGGTTCTGTGGATCAATGCTGGATTCGGGTGTGCGCTTCCATAGAGCCTTCCACGCACTCAATGAATTGTCTAGTACATTCAAATCGTCAGGTCTCAAACTAGTGCCCTGCATATGAGGCGCAGAAAGACAAAGCTGTCGAGCAAAGAAAATCTGTTGGATAATGGCGTGGATGAGGATATAGTTTCCAAGTGGGGATATGGGTGCCGACGGAATTGACATGGATGATTTCAGGAAGAGCCTGGCAAAAGCGTCTTGGAAAGGCACGTCTGATCCCTGCCTGGTGCGATGAACGCGGCGCCATTGTGGGGCATTGCTTGCTTTCCAGAGCTCGTGAGAACACGGCATGTTTAACCTTAACTCCCCGTTCAAAACCAAAGGAGGAATGTTATACATGATTGAGTGGAGGTTAAAGAAACAGTACACAATAAGCTTTGTGCGTCTGTTACCTTCTCTCCGTACCCATTCCTCCCAGCTGATAGGGTCCGGGGTGGGAGGTGGTTCGGATAAGCCATGTTCACGCACGAGCCTAGCCAAAGTACTCTGGAGCGAGAGAATCTCCCGCAAGAGCTCTGGATGTCGTTCCCAGGACGCGAAGACAGTCAGTAGCAAAAATGTTCGAATCACCTCCATATGAGCATCTGAATCATCCAGTGTGTATATTGATGGGTTGAGTGGTGCGTTTAGCATTTGCTGGTGTTGTTGGAAAGGACTGCTCGCCGTGTTAGAAATCATCGATGAACCTCGAGAGTTGGGAAACCCAGATGGCGGGGATATATAGTTCCATGATGGCTGAGGCACTTGCTTGCTGTCTCGCCGACGGAGTCGCTCCAATAAAATTGCCTTGGCTGCATGGAAAAGGTCGATGCCGCGGCTGTTTTCAAACCGATAGTGCGAACCAGCAGCTGCCAGCGCTAACGTAAGTTCAGGGGAGGTTTTAGCAACCGATAATGTAGGGACATGTATAAACGGAAGATGTTCGTTCAATCCATTGATATACCCGGCGAAGAACCGAGATAGGGCATGCCGCGATGGCGGAACAAATCCTTTCGGAAGAACATACGAAAACTCTTCAAGTTTTGAGATGAATGCTTGGCGATCTGAATTGGAGATGTCCCACGCTGGTCGCGTACTCTCATCGGCAAGGCCGATGCGATCGTCCATTTCGTGAGATTCCGGTTGAAGTGATGGCAGCCGGGATCCAAAATTTGAGAAGGACGGGTGATCTTCCGCCGGGCCCCGTGGGTCATTCATGATATCCCCACCAAGTCGTGTTGGCATCGTTTCACGGGGCGGTTTCGAATCGATCGTCATACCTGGCGGTAGCATGGGCTCCTCGGCCGAGGAGAACACGCCTGAGTCCCAGTCAGACGAAAGACCCACACTTTCCAGGAAAACGGTGAAATCCTGAACAGGATCTCCAAGATCAGTGAGATCGAGAATCGAAGGCTCTACACCATAAGCATCGGCAATTGCCCTCTCCTGGACATGAGGAAGTGGTTGTGATATAGGAGCGGCGGTGTGTGGTGGTTTTCTCATGGACTCTAGGCTCTCCTGTTGACCCTCCAAAGCAACATGGCTTGCGGCATGAGATAAAAGATTTAAATCATATCCCCATGAGGGATTGAAATGGGGTGTATCTATAATCGATGGAGTATGGACTTGGACTTCGGGTGGTGGAGGAGGAGGCACTTGGGTGTGAACTGGGATGGCATCTGCAAGCTCTAACATGCGCGACTCATGATGGGCGGGTTGGATGAGGTTGGACTGGATTGGTATTTCATGGTTGTTCTCGTGACCATTTTGAACCCGATGTTCTCGACTGGCTGCGCTTTCAGCAGGGTGGACTAATCGCTCATGTCGCACTAGAAGATCACTGCAAAATTATATTGATGAGCGATTGGCATTCTATTTCGGGAATTACGCGCAATAGGAGCCTACCTCCGAGCAAATGATTTGGAGCAAATGTCACATGAAAAGGGTTTCTCCTTTGTATCTGTTGTCCTACATTAGACGAATTCCAAAAAGCCGGGAGCAAGAGGGGGTTACTCAACGGGTGCGGAGATGGCGTTGGAGATGCTCTAAGCGAGCAAAAGATCGACTGCAATATTCACACGACAGGGACTTTCGGTGAGTGGCCCCTTTCTTTTTAGATTTGGCAGATTTTTCGTCCTCCATCGTTTTTGGGGTTTTGGGGATGGAATGGGGGAGCGCACTA